TGAACCTCAATATCAAACACTATTTGAAGTCAAATCTACTTCTGGGTGTGTACCTGAACTTATATATGCCTGTACATTTGTATGAGATTCTTAATCACAATATGAGGTTCTTTTCTATTTCTAGTATATTGAAAATTTCTAAAAACAACAGGAAGTGAATTTTGTCAAATATCTTTTAATCATCTACTAAAACAATCATAGATACTCTCCTCTGACCTAGTTATCTGGTATATAACAGTAATATATTTTCTAATATTAAAGAATACTTGAACTCATGAAAAACATCTGTTTGGTCTTGGTACATCATTCATTATATGTATGACCAAATTAAAATTCTTAATATTTTAAGATTTTTGCATCCATATTCACGAGTAAGATATTACATTACTTTAAAATATTTAATGAGTGTCCCTTTTCTTCTTTGCTCTGAGATGGTTCATATAGCATGATATTTAACGTTTTATGAATGTTTAAAAGAGCTCTCCCATAAACTGGTTTGGATTCAGAAATTTTTGATACACCACTTTTAAAAACATTTAGCACCTCTTCCAAGGTTATTGATGTTTCCAGGTTTTCTACTTTTTTCCTTAGGAAAAAAAACACATTCCTTCAAGATTTACAATGTATTAACAGAATTATATGAGACTTGATTTCTCAGGCTATGGCTAGTCCTTGCCCATTGCTAGTTTTCAGCAGCTATCCTTCCTTTTTGTTTTTCTTACTTAGACTTGTCATCAATTTATTCCACTTCTGTTCTTATTTTTGCAAAGCATTTCTTATATTTGTAAATTCAATGATGTGTTCTCTAAATTAATTTGTGTTTATTTATATATATTTCTTCTGTTTATTTGGATGTAAAATTTCTAATTTTAGTTGAGTATTTATTTTATTTTAATCTTTCCAATTTAAGAATGAAAAGCTTAAAAGGTAAAAAGCTGCCTCTTTTAAATAAAGTTTTGTCTATACTTACTACATTTTATATGTACTAGGCTCATTACTGACTTATTATCTAAATAGTCCGTGGTATTAATTTTTAATCTATTTGTTATTGGTACATTAGTTGTTTCTAAGGTTTGTTGGTTTTTCTTTTTACATTTTCAATTAATTAGGATTTTGTTTGTCTTACCTCTGTTATTACTTTCCAGTTTTCTTTTTTCGCTCTGGTAAGGTAATATGCTCTATAAATTTGTACACTTTTGGAATTTGTGTTAGTGTGAGAAAGACTCCTAACGGGCAGTTAAATAATGGTGTTTTACAATGGTTTTTGATTAAAAAATAATAAACCCTTTCTTTCTTGCTGATATACAGATCTGCTATGTAAAATCAAACATATTCCACCTTTCTCTCTCTGACCTCTCCCTGCACCAATCGAAGTTTTTGTTTTTTTCTTGGAATTTGATTATTAACATTTTGTACTTACCACCTTCATTATAGGCAGCATCTTTTAGTAACATAAATTACCGACTTTGTTCCATTTTAAAGATTTTCCCCTTGAATTCTCTTTCCTTTAAACTAATATTGCTACCACTAGTATTTGAATTTGATATCCTCGATTATTCTTTTACTTTTATACTTTAAAAAAACTCTAATAAAATTATATTTCTGTTCTGATATAGGACACACACACACATATATGGGCATAGCATATGTATGTAAATGTATATGCATATTTGTGTATATAATGTATATATTTGTTAAACTACAGCTTTCTAGTATATAAACTCAGTATATTTTAATCACACACACACACACACACACACACACAGTATTAAACTTTTTAAAAGCCTTTAAGTTTTTAATGTAAGCTTGTCCATTTATTTTTGGTATCTGTAAACATTTATCTTACTGGGATTAGCCTTTTGTTCTTTTATGATAAATCTTATCTAAGATAATAATTTTGAGCTCTTACTCTTAACAGAATTTTATTTTACATTATTTTATAATTAAAAAACATTATTATAGGTAGAAAAAAGGAACAGTAGAAAGAACACACTTCAAAAACCAGAGATGATGGAGAACTTCTAGAGCTACCCACCTCTCTGGCTTCTTCAATGAGTTTCCAGACTCCTTAGCTCCAAAAACTGTAGTGCTGGGCCCAGAACCACCAGGGATCACCACCTCATTACCCTTTGGGCATAACTGAATGGTATACACAATTTCTCTGAGCAGTGAACCTTTATGAGAAACTTTGTGTTTTTAAATCTATGGCCAGTCACTTCAGGTTAAATTCAGATGGCCACCTGGGATCTTATTCAATTTTAAGCCAATTTAAAAAATTGTTAAGCTGCCTTAAATTGTATGTATTCCATTCTGCTTTTTCTCTAGACTCCAGTATTGGGCTTCTGACTTAAAAACACAAGATAAACAGTCACTGGGGATCTTTGGCACCACAATCTGTTTAAAGGCTGCAGCTCCTTCTGGTGAGCTCCGATCTTGGCTCTCATGTTGACTTTGATCAGTTTGGATCAATCAGAAGGTAGAGTTCACCCAAATTGTTAAGCATTTATTTTTGTATCCCCTTCACAAGGCTAATGATTTATTAGACCAGATATTTTACTTGATTAATGATCAACGTGAGCTTCTCAGGTTCTTTCGCAGTAGAGCCCCTGGTCTTGAGCATGGCTCTTCTGTGAGGACCGCGTGTCCTCCACTAAGAAAATCCAAATGCAGCACCTAGTGACACTTTCTTGGCCTTTGGTTGACACCGCCACATTCAGTTGATTAGCTCTCAACCATTCAGAATGCAAGAAACAGTAAGACACACCTGCGTCATTCTGAGGTGGGGTTAGTAGGGATGAAAGGCAGGTGGAGGAGAGTTGTATTTATATGTATTATTATGCCGACCATGTCCCTGCTTCTCTTTCCCAGTTTCTCAAATACATTAAAGCAATTTTGAATATTATTTAATCTTTATTTGATCATTTAGAAGGCTTTTCAGAGATCATGGATCCTAGCGCTCTAGCGTACATATACCCAAGTGTTAAAACTTGGTGCTGAAGAAAAATAAATAGTATAAGAGTTAGTTACCTATCGTGATGCTAGACTAGTAAGTAGAAATGGATATAAAAATTGAGACATTTTTATATTTAAAACCCCATAATACTAATATTAGTGAAATCAATTATGAGTGAAATATAAAGCCAGGCATACACAGAAATCAACTGAAAAAAATAGGAAAGAATTCAGTTTTTTGTATGCTTGCTCAATGCTTTAAGAAAAGGCTAGGGTCCCAAGTGAGTTTTTATGTCTATAAAATTGTTTCTCTTCTAAATTACACTTAAGTGAAAAAAAAAAAGAGGAAAGAAAGAAAAACAATAATAAGCTTTGCTGGTAGGTCTCCACCATTTTCATACATTCTAGGAGAGAAGGTAGTAAACAGAGTTTCTGCAACCGTAAGTGATGCTTAGAGGAAAATTAAATCACTGAGTGATGCCAGGACTGATTATTCTGCTGCACTTTAAAAGCAAGAGATTGCAGCCTGTGAGCCCAAAGTGGTTTCACATGGACTGCCACAGTTGTGGTTTATGCTTGAAACTATAACCTGTCAAATTAGAAGCAGGCAAGGCCTGTGCTCTTAACGGTTCCACTTTCTACTGTCTACAGTTATGTCTACAAGTTCAGCACTTTTTATTCAGTTCAACTGTGTTATTTGGAGGAGTAGAATCTCAAAACTACTCTTTTTTTAAAAAAAAAAATCTTGGTTAGAGAAGATTTTAGTTAGGATATAAAGCTTAGAGAGACTACCAATCTAATTTTTATTATATAGGTGAAGCTGACTTTCATGGCAACTATTTTTGCCAACTACTGATATTTCATTATTCTGGTTAACACTAAGTAATATATATACTACAACTACAGGGAAGAGGCATATAAACTGCATAAGCTACCCTGCACTGCCAGACAGTTTGTGGACTTTAACTTGCACCTTACTGACTCATCATTTTTTCAGGCCTACAGTAGCCTGCTATTATGAGCTTAGTGTTACAACACGCTCCGCTTCTTCTGTCTCCTTGATTGTGGAATGCCCTTCTGGGCAATGGGCTTGGTTCACAGAGATTTTCCCATCAAGACTGAAAAGCTACTTGTTCAATTTTACTAATGTTTTATGTAGAGTCCTTCCTAAATGAATCTTTCTTCATGCCCATTTGTATAATATAAAAATGTTTTAAAAATAAAGCATAAACAATATTTGCTCTCTGTCATAAGTGAAACCATGCCACTAAACAATCATATCCTGTTTAAGCCATAATGACATCAGAAATATATGTTTATCATCTGCATGAGACAACTTAGCATGTTTTTGGCCCAAGGCAAAGTTGAACTAAAACCATTTGCAGTTGCCCCAAACCAAGATAACCACACATTTCTAAGGTAATTGATACCTAAGAAGAACTGCCTTTAGATCACAGTTCATGATCTAAGCATACTAATTCTTTAAAGAAGGCTGTTAAAGTTTATAAACCATGTATGTCTATTGGACTTCCTCCAAAATTTAACATGAAATAATTATATTCTTAGCATGCAGAGAGACTATGATAAAGTAGGTACTTAGCACGATCTTTTGGAGTTCTGAAATTACCCCTCCTTGCCTAATTTAAAGAGAAAGAAAAATGGAGATTTTTTTTTTTTACATGTAAAAGTATAATAATAAGAAGAATTACAAGAATAATGCCTTGTATTTTGGATGGCACTCAAATGACATCAATCATTACTTTTATTTTCCCAAAGTATTTAAGGAAACAATTTTATGAATAGATAAGCTAAGGTAAATAGAATTACCTTTGCCCACAAAGCTAACTGGTAAATGGAAGGCACACAATTTTCATATTCATTGTTAAAATATATCTAGAGAATCCAAACACATGTCACTAACTTCGTGATATAAAGCATGCAATTGCCCTGGATACTACCTTAGCTAGTGAGTCCAACCGCAGCCTGCAACTACAGCCTGAAAACAGTTCTTCAAGCTATATGCCAACACAAATGCAGTTAAGAATTACCTTTGCCCACAAAGCTAACTGGATATTTTCTTGAAAAAAAAAAAAGACAAAAGCTGAGGGAAATCTACTGATACTCAAAGCAAGAAACAGAGAAATGGAAAACTGAAGTCATCTCTCCACACCAGCTCTGAAGGCAGAGTCTGACCCCCTTCCCAGCGACTCCGCTGCACAGTGCTGCCTTCAGACGTGAAACCACCAACTGGGGCATTTCAGACAACATTTAAATAATAGACTAATAGAACCAAATAGCATAGGCATTGTGGACTGCGATATTATTTTACTGTTAAAAGGGAAGAATGAACTATACCTCCATTCTTTCTTGTTTAACTTCATCAATTTCATCATCTTCAAACATTGCCAAGAGTTCTCCTGTTTGGTCAATGGAGTTGAGAAAGTCTTGAGCGATTTTTTGTCTTTTGTTTGTATTATTAGTGCTGCTCAGTTTGTCTTCACGGAGATAAGGAAAAGAAAAAAGAAATGTGTTTAATAAGGTTACATCAGCACCATTCATTTACATTTGTTAAGTACTGAATATGAAATTCAGAATTAGAATTCTCTCAAAATACTTTTTAAAACGAGAATCTCTGCATCCAAAATAAAAGTGTAAGTCTTATAGAATTAAATCATTTATTCATCTTACAAGAGTGAGAGAATAAAACCAAATTATCATTTACCACAATAAGTGTGAATGGATTGATTAAAATTCTTACAAAAAAAGAGGAAAGGCTCTCAGATTTGGAAAAAGAATCCTGCTATGGCAGGCCTGATTAAGAAAATAAAAACAAAGGTAAAAACAAAAAACATCAGAATTGAGACAGTAAATTAAATGAGAATATTATGTACATTGCTATGGCAACACATTTGAAATCTAAAGGGATGAGATCTTATTCTTTTTTCTTTTAAGAGATAAAACTGTCACACTTATTTAAAAACAAAACATAACTTTGAGAAAGTTATTACAAAAGGTCAGGAAAAACTGTAATATTGCAACAGAAAATTAATATAGTTTAATGCATCAAAGTATCAGTGTAAATTAATGAGTGAATTAGTGAGGAAGAACTAGATTATTTTTTAATGCAATAAATATCTTTATATCAAATAAAGATAACTCAAACATCTTTTTTTTTTTTTATCCTCACTCGAGCACATTCTTTGATATTTTTTTCAGATAGAGTGGGGGAGAGAGAGAGAGAGAGAGAGAAAGAAACATCGACATGAAAGGGACACACCGAGTGGTCGCCACCCACACGACCCAACAGGGCCAGGGATAAACTGCAACTGAGGTACGTGCCCTTAGCAGGAACCGAACCCGGGTCTCTCCAGACCGCAGGCCAACGCTCTAACCGCCGAGCCAAACCGGCCAGGGCGATAACTCAAACATCTTAAGGTGAAAACATCCATTTTTCCACCATTAAGTATGATGTTGGCTGTGAGTTTTTCATAGATGGCTGTCTTGGTCAGTTTGGGCCACTATAATAAATATACCATAGGCTGAATGCTTAAAAAAACAAATATTTATTTCTCATAATTCTGGAAGCTGGGAAGGCCAAGTTCAGGCGCTGGTAGACCTGGTGTCTGATGAGGACCAGTGTTCTGGTTTGGAGATGGCAATCTTCTGGTATCCTCATGTGGTGGATTACCGAAATCCAAAAATCTTTCAGGACAGGAACACTCAACAAACTAGGATGAGAAGGAAACTTTCTCAACCTGACAGAGGTCATTGCTATGAACTGCGTGTCCTCCCTAAAATCCATATGTTGAAACCTAATCCCCAGTTGTGGTGGTATTTTAAGGTAAAGACTTCGGAATTAAGTCATGTGGCAGGAGCCTTCATGCATGGAATTAGTGCCCTTCTAAGAAGAGACAAAAGGGAGCTCTGAAAGTCCTGGACAGTGTGGCTTAGTTGGTTGTGCATCATTTCCATGAACCACAAGGTCATCAGTTCAATTCCCAGACAGGACACATGCCCAGGTTGCGCGTTCAACAGGAGGCAACTGATAGATGTATCTCTCTCATATTGATGTTTCTCTCTCTCTCTCTACCTCTCCCTTCCTCTCAGTCTAAAATCAACAAAAACGTTAAAAAGAGAGAGCGAGAGCTGTGAAAAAGGTAAAGGGATTGAGAGTACAGATTTGTTAGTTATAAAACAGTCCTGGGGATGTAAAGTACAGTACATCAAAGGAAATACAATCAATAATATTGTAATATGTAAAAACTATGTATGGAGCCAGTTGGGTACTGGATGTATCAGGGGAAACACTGGGTAAAGTGTATGATTGTCTAACTACTCTGCTCTACCCCTGAAAGTAACAGAAAATAATACTGAATGTAAGCTGTAGTTGAAAAAATTTAAAAAGTTGAAAAAAATTAAAACAAAAAAGGAAGAACAAAAGACTTCTGGATTTTTAAAAAATAATTTTTCTACATTTATTAAGATGATCATGCGGTTTTTGACCTTTATGTTATTAATATAATGAATTACACAAATTGTTTTTTCAGTTTAAATCAATCTTCCATTTCTGGGATAAATCCCACTTGGTCATGGGGTATAATACTTTTTAGATGTTGCTAGATTTCATTTACTGCATTCTGTTGAGAATTCTGGGATCTATATTAAAAAAGACAATAGTCTGTAGCTTTGTTTTCTTTTCTTGTGATATCTTTTAATGGATTTCATATCACGGTAATACTGACCTTGCAGAGTCGGAAGAATATTAGTATTAATTGTTCTTTAAACATTTGGTGTGATTCATCAGTGAAATCATCTGGGCATGGGTTTTTCTTTAAAGTTTTTAAATTACTAATTTGAATTATTTATCATTGGTCTACTCAGATTTCTTATTTCTTCTGAATGCAGTTTCAGTCTTTATAGGAAAGAAAGTAAATTTCTATGGAACTGGTTATATTAACCATCTTATTTACCAAATCTGTTTATTTTCATTTCTTTTTGTAATTTGAGCAACCATCTTCTGTCAGTGCAGCTTTGTTACCACTGCTTCATTTATGTTGTTAGTGTCAAATTTATTACACGTCTACATGTTACAGAGCCAACATTGTAAATATTGATATTGCTTTATAGAATTGTTTTAAAATCAGTTGAGAAAAAATGCAATTATATTGTTTCATATTGCCTGCATAGTTTCTTTTCAGGTTCCCTTTTCTCGTGTGTGGGTGTGTGGATTCAATTTGTTATCCCCTGCAACTTGCTTTCAGCCTGAAGAACTTCCTTTAGCAGTTTTTTTTTTTTTATCCTCACCCGAGGACATTTTTTTTTTTTTTTTTCCATTTTTTGTTCAGGTAGAGTGGGAGGGAGAGAGAGGAACAGAGAGAGAGAGAAACATCGATGTGAAGGGACACATCGAGTGGCTGCCACCCACACAACCAACCAGGGCCGGGGACAAACTGCAACCAAGGTACGTGCCCTTAGTGGGAACCGAACCCGGGTCTCTCTGTACCGCAGGCCGACGCTCTAACCGCTGAACCAAACCGGCCAGGGCCTTTAGCAGTTTTTATGTAAGACTGCTCGCTAGAAAGTTGCTCAGTTTTTATTTATCTGGAAATATCTTTATTGTGCCTTCATTTCTGAAAGATAGTTTGCCTAATAGGTTTCTTGGTTGACATATTTTCTTTCAGCACTTTGAATATGCAGTCCTACTACTACCTGACCTATATTGTTAATGAGAAGCCAGCTGTTAATAATATTGTTAGGATTCTGTTGTATGTGATGAGGTGCTTTTTTCTTGCAGCTTTCATGATTTTCTCTTCTCCTTTGTCTTTCATCATTTCTGCCAGAATGTGTCTGAGTGTGTATTACTATGTGTTTATCCTACTTGGACCTTGCTGAGATGTTTGGATATATAGATTAATAGTTATTATTAAAGTTGGGAAGTTTTCCATCAGTATTTCTTTGAATATTTTTTTTCTGCTAATTTTTCTCTTTCCTTACCTTCTGGTAGTCCCATTATGCATATGTTGGCTCATTTAATGGTGTCTCATATTTCTCTGACACTCTTTTAATTTTCTTTCATTTTTTTTTCTCTTTGTATTTCAGATTGCATAATCTTTAACAATCTGTTCTAGTTCACTGATTTTGTTTCTTCTTCTGTTAGTTCAAAGTTACCATTGAGCCTCCCTACTGAATTTTTCATTTTGGTTCTTGTATTTTTCAACTCCAGAATTTCCATTAGTTTCTTTTTATAATTTCTATCTTTTAATTGATATTCTGTATTTTGTGAAAAATTATAAGCATACCTTCTTCTGTTCTTTAAACGTGGTCTCCTTTAGTTCTTTGAACATATTTATAATAGACATTTTGACGTTTTTGTCTCCACGTCCAACATTTGGGCCTTTTGTGTTGTCTGCCCCCTCACCCCTTTTAATGATCACACATAACCATTTCTTTGCATATCTAGTATTTTGCTGCTGCTACTGTTGAAAATTGACATTTTTGGTAGCATATTGCAGCAACTTAGATAATAATTCCCTCCCCTCCCTGGGGCTTGTTGTCATTGTTTGCTTAGTGACTTGGCTGGACTAAGTCAATAAATTGTCTTTCCCTGGCAGTGTGTAGCCTCAGAGGTTGCTCCTCAGACAGCACAGCCCTGAGCATATGGCCTTCTCAGGTACTAGGGATGACTGATTTTAGTCAGTTTCTCTTTGGCTTTCACTTTTCTTGATCTCTCCATTATGTTACTGGCTGGTCTGACTTTTCTGATATCAAATATAGCTGTTCACTTCCACTAATTCCTGGCTGATTGCTCTATTGCTTTTATTAATACTCTTGAGCATAAATTGCTCCACAGAATGATCTAAACAAAGTTGGGCCCCTTTGCAGAGTTAAGGTATTGTCAGATTTTAAGGTTTGCTCTGACCCCAGGAAGGCTCTTCTTACCTGTCTTTTTCCTTGCTTTCCTCTGTTAAACTTTGCATTCTTTATGCTTGTTGTAATTAGTATCAAGAAACTACCAGCTTCCTCTTAATTTCTCACCACCAGGATTGCCACTGTTTTCACCTGCTCCGTTCCAAACAGTCAGTCCCCTTAGGGAGTGCTGCAGAGTTATCCTGTTATTCAGTCCTGCCTTACCCTTTGGGTTGAACCTTTGAGCACTGTACTGGAGCTGGGGGTGGAAACAGCAACCAAAGACTCTACTGGATCCAAGAGTGGGGAGTTGGTCAAAGACGGGAGCCCTTTCTCTTTTAGGCTTGTCCCTTCAGCTGTGGATCTTTACTTCCTATGAGAAAGTTAAGGTGGAGGTCATCAGAGACCAGTATTCTCAGCCTGCTATGTCTAGGGTAGAACTGCCCTGTGAACAGAGGATGAGATGAAGCTCCTGCCTCGAACAGAGCTTCTGCAATGTAGAACCAGAGGAGATGACGGATGCTGACCTCCTGCCCCTTCTGGGGTGAAACTGTTGCTCTAGACTGGGAGCTGGAAAAGCAGGTGATCAGTATTCTTGGCCACACTGCTCAGATTAAAGCAGATGGGGTGGCAGGGTAGGAGGACAGCAGAGGAATAATAGGAGTAAATCATGGCTCAAAACAACAGACTCTCATTTTTCTTAATAAAATGTAGTAGAATTTCTTGAGTATGTGTTTCTTCATTTGCTGTACGCCCTTAGGACAATACCTAAAAACTTAAACTGCCCCGGCTGGTTTGGCTCAGTGGTTACAGCATTGGCCCATGGACCAAAGGGTAGCTGGTTCAGTTCTGGTCAAGGGCACATACCTGCGTTGCAGGTTCCATCCTGGCCCCAGTTGGGGTCATGCGGAGGCAACCAATCGATGTGTCCCCCTCACACTGATGTTTCTCTCTCTCTCACCCACCTTACACTTTCTCTAAAAATCAATCGAAAAAAATATCCTCAGGTGAGGATTAACCAAAAATATAAATAAATAAAAATAAAAACTCGCCCTGGCCGGTTTGGCTCAGCGGTTAGAGTGGTGGCCTGCAGTCTGGAGAGACCCGGGTTCGGTGTCCGCTAAGGGCACGTACCTCGGTTGCAGTTTGTCCCTGGCCATGGATGGGTTGTGTGGGTGGCAACCACTCGATGTGTCCCTTTCACATCAATGTTTCTCTCTCTCTCTCTCTCTCTCTCTCTCTCCCTCTCCCACTTTATCTGAATAAAATATCAAAAAATGTCCTCGGGTGAGGATATAAAAAATAAATAAATAAAAAATAAAAGCTCAAATTATTATTTAAAAATTTTTTCAGTAGATAAATGTGTTTCACTGGGAAAGAGTCTACCACATGACCATTTTACAAGTCCCACCTCAGTATCAGATGTATTTTACTTGAGTAAGTAGTTTATCTTATAAATTATATAAATTATTTAAACATTTTATATAAGACACACAAAATTAGAAAATTTAAATGAGTATAAAGATGAGAGACTTGAAATAAACAAGGAAGAGAGGGCAGCGAAGGGACACGGTGACGTCAGCGCTGAGCACTAGCCCCAGCTCCCTGTGCGTCTTGGTGTCGAAAGCGTGGCATACACAGTATCTTTGACTCAGTGTCAGGGCTGTCTCAGGTGCTCTGCATACATTATGCTGAGATCTCATCATAACTGCACATGGTAAGTAGTATAATTTCTGACTTATAAATGAGAAAACTGACCTTCAACATCATACAGAGAGAAAGCAGAGAACTTGGATTTATTGAAATTCAAGTCTACTTTGCTTCAAGTCTGTATTCTTTATACTCTCCACCAACAGAAGCATTTAAATTCATCTGGAGAACTATTTTCCACGAATTAAATTCTATGAGAATTTCAGGAATATTAAATAGGCAACACTGATTAAACATTTGTTCAAAAAAAATTTTTTTTGCATGCTTATTACACTTGCTGATTTGTTGAGGGTCAATGAAAGTGGTTCTCTTTCAAAGTCTGTTAACTCTTTAATTGGTTTTGAGTAGTTTTCTGGATTTCTTCTTAATCCAGTAGAGTTTGTTTAGCTACTTTATTAATATATATATATATATCAGCAATAAATACCATTATTCAGTGACTGGTTCAATCCAAAATACATGAGTTATTTCTAAAAGCACAACAAACATTCAACCTTGAACAATGTGAGGATTAGAGATGTAAAACACGGTTCAGTCAAAAATTCACATGTAACTTTTGACTCCCCAAAAACTTAACCATGAATAGCCTACTAGTGACTGGAAGCCTTACTGATAATATAAATAGTTGATAACACATATTTTGTATATTATATTATATACAGCATTCTTACAATAAAGTAAGCTAGAGAAAGAAAATTTTATTAAGAAAATAATTACAAGTAAGAGAAAATACATTTATAGTATTTATTGAAAACAATTTGCATATAAGTGAACCCACAATTCAAATCCATGTTGTTCAAGGGTCAACTGTATTTATTTTGATTCAGTAAGCATTGTTTAGTAATGGTCTATTTTCACCTTAGCACTGTTAGATTCTGCAAGATTAAAATGTTTTCTAAATATTCCATAATGGGGAATTCAGTTGGAAAATCAGATAAGGAAATGTTCTACTCTGTATTAGGCTTTTTATTACATTTCAAACAGCATAGAAATACACACCCAAATGAGGTGACTTTACATCATAAAACATATCAGATACTTTTTATAATAAATTAACAAAAACCCATATGTATCAATTTCAAAGACATATAGTTCTGGCTCTCTACATCCACAAGAGAAAAATTATGCTGGCTAAAATAATGTTTTGAATTAACACAATTTTCTTAGTTTCATGATATTCTGATATAAAGCAGGTCATATTAATAAAGGAAAGAACTGAAATACCAGATTACTATTAAGTCACATAAGTAGAAGATCATAAGATTTAGCTGTCAACAAAGTAAAAATTTGGTTAATTTCTAAACCACATTATTTAACTCAAGTGCATATATTCTACTCTGATTGGAATATCGTCATTGACACTGCATGTGAGGTCCAGCATACATGTGGCATTGTTCTCAGTTTAGTGATTTGTTTAGATTACCTTCAAGAAGATCATCCTCTTCTATGCCTTTGACAATCTTTGATTTGTAGTCTCGGAAAAACATGTATTTTAGCAGTCTTCTAAGTTTTTTCTATTAAAAATATGAAAGCAGTAAATAAGAAACCTTATACATATATTCCCTTTACTGAGTAAAGACCATGATAACTAAATTTAATAAAGCAGTATCCCAGAATCATTGGGGAAAATGCAACAATTCTCAACATGATACTATATAATAAAAACTATAGTTATCAAATTAAACATAAGAGCTGAAACACAAGTATTTTTAAAAGCACTTTTCATTTACAAGTATCCAGATGCTCCAGAATCACAATAATTACCTTTATATTTTGGTCTTACAGAAGGTTTAAATTCTTGCCTCACCGGTGTGGCTCAGTGGTTGAGCACTGACCCACGCACCAGGAGGTTTGCGGGTCTGATTCCCAGTCAGAGCACATGCCCAGGTTGTGGGCCCGATCCCCGGTGGGAAGCATGCTGGAGGCAGTGAATCAGTGTTCTCTCTCTTTGATGTTTCTGTCTCTCTCTCCTTCTCCCTTCCTTTCTCTACCATCAATAAAAAAAAAGTTTTAATTTTTTTCTGAAATCTGTGATAAACATCACTCTCCATACTAAGCTATTTTATTTTTTAAATGATTGATAAACAATCTAGACAAGGAGTTTGTAACAACTGCTTTAAAAAGGCATGTACTCTCCCTTTTTATTGTTTTTTGTTCTCTGAGACTCTTTTACTTTATTTAGAAGAGCTGGTTTATGGTTTATATTTCTGGAAAACATTCAGTAATATGAGAAACATATTTTTATGAAACTCAAAGCTGATTAATGATAGTTGGGTCTTAATAATGGCTTTCCTTGGGTTTATTAGAAGACCAGAATACTGCTTAACTCCAAAAGTAACTGATAATACTTTGTAATTTGTTGTGTGCTTACACTTAGAATGTATTCTTACTGGTTCTTGACCTTTGCGTTTAAGATTCCTAGGAACAACTGAAACCTACTGCAGTATGCAAAGATCTTTTACATGCATTTTATTTGACAGCGCTGAAATATAGACAACTATAATCTTCTCCTTTTTATACACAGAGAAATTGAGGTTAAAATTAGTCTTGCAACTAGTTTAGGGGGGGTCAGAGGTAGAACATAACCTTTGAACCTCAGTTTCTTTATTTACAAATTAAGTAAAGTATCTACTTTACAAGACTATTGTGAGGAATAAATAAACTGCCCAGGGTAATATGTAAAACATAGTAGACCTTCAATAACTACTGCTTTATTATAAATTGAAATTATTAAGAGGAAAAAAAGATCTTTTGCTATCCTTTTCTCTTTGCTGATTCTACTCGGTGCTTTAGATCTTATTTTGTCTTATGTTACTCCTATGTAAACTACTTTAAATTGTGTTTGGAACATATCGGCATGAAAATAAAACTATTATTTGAGGAGAAAGATGAGAACAAAGGCAACTATCATATTACAGCGATGTTCTCAACTACCAAGCAGATAGATCATGGTCAGGAGTCCTTCTGGGCAGTCAAGGGCACTGTGTCAATTAGTGTGTGTTCCTGAAGTTTCAATAGGATTAAAATGTTTACTTTTCCCCAAAGGCAGGAAGATGTGTCAATGTGGACTGTTTTTGTGTGTGCTAGCCTCTTTATCTGTCAGTGAGGAAGACAAAGTGAGCAGATACCTTCTGCTAGTCCGCTGTTCTCCAGAAGCCTTCACAAAGCACCTCGGCTCAAGGCCCTCATTTCTGCCAGTGGCCTTCCGGCTCCTTCCTCCCCGCACCACTGCCATGCATGCCTATTCTTCCCTAGTCCTCCAAGTGTAATGACGTCACCAAGTCCTGCACACTTTTACTCTTCACTATCTCTCTGAATTCTCCCTTCTTATCCACTTCCAGGGCCATCGTAGTAATCATATTTTGCCTTGATTACTAAACCAGAATCCTGGTTAGTTCTTTTGCATTTGGTCTATTCCACAAATAACTGCATGGGTCTTACCCCAGGCAGAAACCTCCACTTCAAAAAATCCTACAGCCTCTACATCTAATCACATAATCTTAAATTCTCTGAGTCTTAAAATGCGTCTTTCAACTAAATCATAGTGGTTTTCTAAACTAGATTATAGCTTCTTGAAAGTGAAGACATTTCTTTTCCTTTATATTCCTCATACTATCTAAGAGTTAATGAGCCAAAAGTTTATCCAAAAGGTCAGGTGGGAAGCCTTTTGATAGGAAACAGAGCCACAAGCATACGAAAATGGTGGCAGAGGAACGGGTGAGCGTAATAAAAAGCCCACGAAGAAATGAAAGACGGAACATTAGGGACCAGGCGTTGCTTGCTCCTTGTGATAGCATCTGTCATAACACACTGTGATTATTTAGTTAGTTTTTTACATGTAACTTTGAAATGAAACTTATGAAAACATAAAATTTTATGAAATATTTTCAACTAGCTACTCATGGAAGAGAGTTATGACAAAACTAGACATGTAAATACCAGCTTAGATATTTTTATACCAGTGTTCAAAGAATAAGAAAAATAGATCTTAAAGTATAAAAAACCCCAGACATTATGGCATCTATTTATGCTACTGGAATATATATCTTGATTGATTTTCTATTTCCTACAAACTAGTGTCACAGAATAAACTTTGTATTTCAAGGTTAAAAAAAAACAAAACTCTCTGAAAGCCTATAATACTGTACAAAATTAGAAGAAAAATAAATATGCTACTCAGTTATATCTCACTTATTAGAACAGTGAATATTTAATGATTATGTAGCAATAAACATGTCTAAGTAGATGTGTATGCATAACTGAGAATTCGCTGTCAACACAGTTTTACATACGTGCCCTTGCCCATGTTAAAAAAAAAAAATCAATTCTCTTAATAGTAAACCATTTTGTCATGCAAACTATGAAGACTAAAATATCAGTTCAATACTTATGATTCCAATATGAAAGCTATAATATAACAAGGATATTTAGTTTCCTCACATAAGTATAATTAAGCACCAAACATGGCATTTTAATTCAGTAAAACATTTTTATATTACCTTATCTTTGCGCATCAAAAACAGAAGATCTTCAGCAGATATTACCCTTGCTCCCCGAAGCTGAGAAACTTCAGCAGCTTGCTGTAACTAACAACAAAATTTAGGAATTTTTCTCAATAATCTAAATTAAATGCATGACCATCATGATGTCTCAAGAAAGATAAATACACTAAAAGTTAACAATTTTGGAGAATAATCCAGCAATCACATTACTGTTTTAAAAAGTAAAATGTCTTAAGTTTTAAGGTATGAAAAAATGCTCTTAAATTAACTTATAAGCCCACCTGTAACTGATACAATAAACAGAAATCCTTGATTTCTTTCATGCAAAAGAAAAATCACGTGCAGCTTTCAGAAATGCATTAATGCACCTGAAAATAATTTTATGAAATTGTATCCTCATATCCATGTGAGCAATGGTTTCACTCAGTATCACTAGTTGAATAAGTATATTATTAATCTGAGCTCCCATGCTGGTATGATTTGAAATAGGCCCATTCAGACCTTTAAAAGATCAACAAAAACAGTAGCTGTTTCTAATATCCAAAGGAAAAAAAATAGTTTTAGTTTTGGCAAGTCTTCAGTGGGCAAAGGATTCAGTCCATAAATCATAATATGGGACTGCATTAATTTCTTTCCACACTAATCACATGCACACAAAAAGTTAACTGTATCTGGAATGCACAACACAAAACATACTGCATGAAAAGTTAGAGTCCCCCTGAAATGTTCATCTGGGCCCTTATATCTACAAAGTCGAGAGTTTTCTGGAATTCAGAAGTCCTAGAAACACAATCTTACTTGAAAATGACCTGGAAAATAAAAGAATGTGAAAAATGATAGTTCTATTTTTTTGGCAGGGGCAAAATCAGTTTCTTATTTTGATTAGTTGGAAGGAACATAAAATACATCCAGCTGAAAAAAATAAAGATGCTGGAGAAAACACTACAAAAATGTGCCTGTAACTTCTTTCAAACTTGATCAAACCATGGTGATTGTACCAAACCAACTCTACCCAATATTACACAAATATTTCCATATAAAAGCTGTTCCTGAAGGCATCGTTCTGTGAAAGGAATAATCTAACACATATTACTGAGAACTAATCTTTACAAAGTGACACACTGTTATCTTAACAATTATAAGGAATCAAATAGCGCGTTTGTACTGAAGAAATTCTGCTTGAATGTTTAAGCGATTCTGCTAAGTAAGCTTCAAACCTTGTCTAAATACACAGACTACAAAATAGACTACAAACTCCCTATGTGTCAGCCTTACCACTGAACTTCCTGGATACTGGTGGTTGGTATATAAACATAATTCTACCTAAATATAGAAATTTAAATTTAACTGTGAACCATTTAAAAAGAAATCTTGGGGGAAAGGTTTTTTAAAAAGATGATGTATCTATCCAGAAAGAAACTAAATGTTTTCAGCAGGAAAAAGTTTAAACATATTTTTCTAAAAACTGCAAGAGTACCAGGGAAATATGTATACATGTTTTTTCTTTTCCCCAAATAAAAACATTTCTATCAGAGTCTAAAATTCTTGCAATTATATGAAGAAGAAACTGGACTCAATTTGCATCCGCCTCCATACGCAGAGAACCAGGAGGCAGCACCATCAAGTACTACACAGATATCAGTAACTTTACTCATGTTAAGAAAGGATCAGGGTAAGTACATATCCCTAAACAGTTTTCCCAAGTAGTCAGTTGTTTACCCACAATACATCTAAATAATCTGTATTTATAACACTCTCAAAAATGTCAGTTTACAAACACATTAACCGGGAAAAAAGAGAAAATGAAAAATAAGGACAGAAACGTGAGACATTTTAAACACCTCTTCAAAACCAGTACACAACTATTGTAGGGATCTGGAATTTATGCCATGGTTACTTAGCAGGAAGTCTTTATCTTTAGCTTTAATCTCCTCGATTTGCTAATTTCCCTCACCTAAGCTAGTGCCCTTACTAGCCCTAGTACTGCTAGCTCTCATTAATGCACCTTGGACTCCCATGCAGTGAACCCTCAGGACTGAAAGCTGTCATTGTGTTACCTCACCAAGCCTACCTGGCCCTCATGTGACCCATGTTCCAAATCTACCTCTCCCAAATGCTCACCTCCTCTTCTATACTGAGTGAGGAGAGCAATTTAATTAGCTAATTACAGTGAGCACACTAAATGTGTATTACCCATTAGCTTACTTTTACAAATATTTCTCTACATCTACCAGAAAGGGTAAAGAAACTCCTCTTTAACAACACAAGCTTAAAAAAGAGGTTAGCATAGCTGCTTGGCAGTCCAGTTCCACAGGAGGCTGAGTGCATTTAGTGTAAAAAATAAATGAATACATACATACATACCAGCCCTGGCCAGTTTGGCTCAGCGGTTAGAGCATCAGCCCACGGACCAGAGAGACCCGGGTTCAGTTCCCGCTAAGGGCACATACCTCGGTTGTCATTCTCCCAGCCCCAGTTGGGGTTGTGTGGATGGTGGCCAGTCAATGTGTCTCTCTCACATCAATGTTTCTCTCTCTCTCTTCCTCCCTCTCTCCCTTGCATTCTATCTGAAGATAAATGCAAAAATGTTCTCGGGTGAGGATAAAAAAAAAAAAAATACCAGAACCAGGAAACTCCAAATATATATATATATATATATATTCCTAACACCTTCAGTGCTTAAAAAAAAAAGTTGACTCTATATTACCCCCCCCCAAAAACTCTCAATTTCTTAATTATTGAAAATAAATGGGAAGTTATACATCATTATTCACTGTAGCAAGTCAGTAATTAAAATAATATGAAATAATGGTACATTTTATAAACTTTATCACAATAAAATAAATATACATTTAATTGCATTATAAAATATGCAAGATATGACAGAGTAGAGAAACACTTTCAGACCAATTGCTGGTTGAATGAGTAAACAAAGTTAATTTTATTAACTATATGGACAAAGGTAGAGTAATAGCAACCTTACAGAGAGATTTATTTGTAACTTAATAAGATATTTTGCTAAAAGACATTATTTTCCCATAATAACTAATTTACAGCATTTGTTTTTTTTTTCTGATAAATACTTCTATGCTTTGAAGTAAACTAACAATAATAATACAATTGTAATAAGTGTTTAAAAGACAAAAATTCCCCTAGCATAGTAACACTTATCATGTTGGCATTTTAATACTTCATACTTTATTTGGGGGTTGAAAATTAAAAGACACACTTTAAATTTAATTTTACATCATAAATGCCTCAACTTTGATTCCTACAAATGAATCTCTTCTAAATTTCTCATTGTTATCAATGATACCAACATTCAGACTCAATTTTTCTTCTCCTATATTTTCACCAACTTCTGTTGATTTGTTTGTTTGTTTTTATCTGTTCAGGGTCTTGACTTTGCTCTCTAGTTCTGTAGTATTCATCGCAATCCAGGTTTTGGGGGTTTTTGCCTAATAGTTTCTGCATTTCAGTGTCTCCATATTGTGCTGCATCCTAGATTAAAGTGCTAAAATGATCTTCCTCAAATACAATGGTCACAACTCTTGTTCCAAGATATGGTGATTCACTATTAACTAACTTCAATGTGTTCTTTAAAGCCTTACTGACTCACAGATATTCTCCTATACCTTCATTCTCATTATTTTTCTCTCGTATTTTTCTACATTTAAGCTCCAGTAATTTCAGTTTTATTTTTATGCCTTTGTGTACTTGTGATGGATCCTTTTATGTGTTAATTTGACTGAGTCCAGATATTTGGTTAAATATTACTCTGGGTGTGATTTTCGAGATCATTTCTGAGTGAGATTAATATCTGCATCGGTAGACTGAGTAAGGCAGAAAGCGCTCCCTAATGTGGGTGGACCCTGAACAATCAGTTGAAGAACTGAATACAGTTATGCACTACCTAATGGCAGAGATACATTCTGAAAAATGTACTGCTAAGCTATTTGTTTTTTGTGCAAATAGAGTGCACTTACACAAAGCTAGATGGTATAGCCTATTGCTCCGAGGCTACAAGCTTGCACAGCATGTTACTGTACAAAACAATAAATCAAGCACAAGAGAAAATGATGCAACCAAGAGATTCAGTTAACACAAGATGTATAAGGCTGCTACCGGCGTAACGCGACTTGTTGTTTTGCAGGAAACCTTTTTTAAAAGAAGTAGAAAGAGTACACTTTAAAATAATGACAAAAAGTATATTAAATACACAAATCAGTAACATGGTCATTTATTATCAGTATCAAGTATTACGTACCGTACTGAACTGTATGCACTATGCTTTTACACAACTGGCAGCACAGTGGGTTTGTTTCCCCCAGCATCACCACAAACATGTAATGTGTTATGCTATGACATTATAATGTCACTAGGTGATAGAAATTTTTCAGCTCCACTGTAATCTTATGGGACCACCATCGTTGGCAGTCTGTCGTTGACCAAAATGTCATTATGCGGTACATGACTATAGAACAAAAAGGCTAAATAAGAGGGAACTCCGACTGCCTGATTGCCTTGAATTAGAACATTGGTATTTTCCAGCCTCTGACTTGAAATGAAATATTTAGCTCTCAGGCCTTTGGACTGGATCAGGCACTACACCTCACATCTCCTGGGTCTCCAGCTGGCCAGCTACAGAACTTGGGACTTATTAGCCTCCATAATTACGTGAGCTAATTCCTTACAATAAATCAGTCTGTCTGTCTGCCTATCTCTCTCTCTCTCTCTCTCTCTCTCTCTCTTTCTGTCTACACACATATACACATATATCCTATTGGTTTTGTTTTTCTGGAGAACCCTAATTAAGAGTACTTTACTTAAATTATGAGAAATACTTGATTCTTTATAATGAACATAACAGTTTGAGGAATGGGGTAGTCCCAGAGATGCGGAAGCGGGGTACAGACTGACAATCCCCTAAAAAGTGGGGAGGTGGGGCAGGTATGAACCACAGAACTTATACGCATGTATGCATGAACAGTGGACATGGACAACAATCTGGGGAAGGGGCAGGGAGGGAGGGGGAAGGGGGAATCAGTGGGGGGGAAAAGGAGAAACATCTGTAACAAAAATTA